AAACCCTGAACCCCAAACCCTGAAGATCTGGTGATAGTGGGACCCTGAGTCGTAAATCTCTGGCATGCGCACTTCGTCGAGGCATTGGGTCGGCGACCACTTGCCCAGTGCAGGCCGGGCCGACAGCCAGGGCAGTGCATTCAGGGTGCAGGGTTTGCGGTTTGAGGCCCTAAGCCCTAGACCCTAAACCCCCTAAGGCCCTTAGGACCTAAACCCTAAACCCCATTCGGGGTTCAAGCTCTACTCTTAACACGGCATCTTTTGGTTTGGGAACCCAAAAGTGACCCTGGTTTTGACAACCACCCAGTACTTGGAGGTACATGGGTAGTTATAAGTGGAGTTATATGTAGGGTAGCTGTAATTAGAACTATAACCCATATTAGGAGATTTATCACCCTACTTGCAGCCACCCATGAACCTCCAAGTATGAGCCAGGAGGTCATCCTGATCCTGCTTCAGACGTTGCCCCCCGGCTAGCCGCGCCGCGAAAGCAGGAGGAGGGGTCAGCCTGTGTGTTTGGGTTCTAGGGTGTAGGGTTTAGGGAAAAAGGGCACGGATATTAGGTCTGCAGGTCTGCCTCAACCCTAAACCCTAAACCCTAAACCCCTCTATGGTAGCCCTGTCTTCGGATTGTACTGTGCCCTGTATGGTTTGGAGCTGCTCGTCTGGGTAGCTAAGGCTTGTAGCTTACTATGTGCGGCAGTATATGGTAAGGGTTTAGGGTTTAGGGTTTAGGGCAAAAAGACAGTTCATGTTTTTTTTTTTGCGAAAGAACCGTCAATTTTGGTGGTTTCGACAAATCTCAATCGCCATGCGAGAATTTAGCTCCTGCTTTGAGCTCACAAAAGCCACTCACCCGGCTTCCCTGACTCCCACATAGAACCCCCACGATGGGTTAGGGTTTCAGGGTTCAGGGTCGTGAAAACCCTAAACCCTAAACCCTAAACCCTAAACCCTAAACCCTAAACCCTAAACCCTGAACCCTAAACCCTAAACCGGGACTTTGAATTCCCCAGTCTTCAACCCAAAGCCGATAAACCCTGTCGCTCCAGACGGATAGCTTTGAAGTCGTTGAAGGCAGCTTTAGGGTTTAGGCTTTACGATTTAGGCTTTACGGTTTCGGGTTTAGGCTTGCGGGTTTAGGGTTTCGGGTTTAGTCTTTAGAGTTTCGGGTTTAGGCTTCAGGGTTTAGGGTTTAGGCCTTAGGCTTTAGGCTGTTGGGTTGAGGATGCGATGGGTGCCGAAGCGGCCGCGCCGGCCGCTGTGGTTCCCGAGGAACACTGGGGCGGAGGCCCAGGACTGGTTGGGGTCCATTTGGGTCCAGGGTTTACGGCTTAGGGTTTAGGGTTTAGGGTCCAGGGTTTTAGGGATTTAGGGTTTTAGGGTTTAGGGTTTAGGCTTTAGGGGTTAGGATTATTTGAGGATGGGGCAGGATTCGGTAGGGTTTGTACAGGTAGCAGTTATCATGGCAACGGCTTACGGTTTTTTCAGTTTGGGTCTGGTGCTTTAGGACTTCGGGATTGGATGCTTGCGGGCTTTGGTCCAGAAGCTGCGTCCTTCCTTAGTGCTCTTGCGTGGCTTGGGTTCGAGACGTCAACAGGTGGCTTTTGTCTGTTGTAGCCCTAAACCCTTAAACCCTAGACCCTAAAACCGCACAAGTTGTAAGTCTGAAATCTGGCTCTGAACCCTAAATCATAGACCCTGACGCCTCAAGCCTAAAACCTAAACCCTAAACCCTAAACCCCTAAACCCTAAATCCTAAAACCCCTAAACCCTAAACCCTAAATCCTAAAACCCCTAAACCGGTGTCGGTCTTCATGGGCCGGTGGGTTGGTGAAGGCTCCTACAGCCTGGACTGGTACACTGTAGGGCGTTGGGTTGAGGGGT